CCCCTGTCTTGTCAGTGGCATGCCTACTCACCAACAACCCTACCCCCATTTACTAAACTAACAAGTTCAGTTGGTCAACAAAAATTAAAGAAAAACAGAGTATTTATGAAAATGATTAATTTATAATATAACATACCAAAATCTGAACCATTTTATGACTTTTTTCTTTTTCTTGTTGGCCACATTGCTGACAAAGATGTATATAATCATGCAATAATTTTAATCTACAAGACAGAGGACTGATTGGGCAAAAACCATCTAGTCCCCTACCCAAAATCATAAATTGGTTAGTATCAAAAAAAAAACGGAGCATTTATGAAAATGATTATACAAAACAAATGCTATTTTACAACTTTCCTCTTAACATCAGAGCCCCAATGCAATTTCAGGGCCACCAACCCTGCTCTGAATTGTGACCTGTGCTTGAATGAGCTGCAGACTCTCTTAATATTCATCAGCAGAGTTGCAACAGCTTGTCACAGAGCCATCCTTACCCTAGAGGTAGGATCATTGCAGGCAACTTTTTGGCTAGCGTGCCGGCAGCCATCTCTGATCTGGGAAGATTAGTGAAAGTGTCATTGACAATTGATGCAGTCGTGGTAAACTCCAGGACCATGCTGCCTCCCCCTAGAGTTTAACAGCATCATTGTATCCTTGGGGATCGCAGGTTGGTTTAGCCTTGTGTACACGAGGAACGTGTGTGAATGACTGTAATGTGTTCAAGGTAGCATGCTTCAACGCCTGCTGTTTTCCTGTAATCAAACATTGCATATTTGAATTGTCTCTTTTTCAACAGTGTGCTGCCTTGACATCCTGTGATTATAATAATATAATAATATTATTATTGATCACGAAAAGCAAAATACACAATCTTGATAAGAATCTGTATTACACCAGCAAGATCTTCTCCGTGTTTTGATTTCCAATTAAAATATTTATAAACTAAAATAAAAATATCAATCAATACAAATAAAAAATAGTACCTCTGGTTAGTTATTAACACGCCTTCTTTAGAAGATTTGCATTTTGTCACCTTGGACTCTGTAAAAAATAAATTGTCTTTCCAAGAAAGAAAAAAAATCAATTCGCGTCTGTCCTACCAAAAAAAAACCAATAGGATAAATAATTAGCGTGTACGTGTCGATCAATCACAAACTTTTATTTTACAAAAATGCCGGCTAATAAGAACAACAACAAGAAAAGAAATCGCGAAAGAAATGTTGCAGAAGCAACAAGACCTGAGTAAGTGTTTTAAGGATGGTGGTGGTGGTTATCGCCCGCCACCTGTTGTCGTTACTCTAGTTTATATATAAAGATTGGTGGTTATTGCAATCATTGCCACTTGTCGTCACTAGTTAATTATAAACTTTTTTTTTATTAGTGTAAATGATGATGATAAAGAAAATGAAAAAGTATTTATTTCAATAAATTATTATTTAGTATTCATGTAAACACTAATTCAACATAAAATAATTTTTATATACAGTTATTTTCTGCACAAACAATCATCCTCTTTAGAGTTGGAGAGAGAAGAAATTGGAGTTAGAAGTAGAGGAATTAAAAAGAAAGTTGGAGAGTTATAAAAGGGAAGGTAATGAACAAATTGCGTAAAAAATATACAAAAAATTATTTTTTGTTCATTCCATTTCGTTTTATTTATTATTCATTATCTCAATTTCGTACTTATATCCCTGAACATTTCTTTTAATAAGGTATGTATCTACCAGTGTGTTTTAGCTCTGAAACAAAGGGAGTTTTCAGTTATCTTATTCTTTTATTTATAACACATTTGCTAATTATTATTCTTGTGCTTTTCTTTCTTGCTTCTGCTAGGAAAATCACTCAAGAGCATCTTAGAAATTATCTTAGAGAATGTGGAAACCAAAGTATCAGTATCAAGAAGGGAACCTAGCTTGCTTATGCCATTGAAAGAACAAGACACATCTGGAGCATTAAAATTAGTCACAGATAATATTAATATGTCTCTGGATTCTTCTTCCTCAAAAACAGATTATAATTTCCTTGTCTGTGGTGGTGCAGCTGGGATAGGTATATACATACTTTATTTATTTATTTACTTGTGATGATTTTACAAAATTGTTAACCATTAACTCCACATGTATCGGGTAAAACTTGTTGGGGGTTGGAATTGTTTTACTCTCTTAAAAATAGTTGGACACCCCCAATAGAATGGAGTCATACACACTTTCTCTACATAAATTATAATATGATATTTACTCTATGAAATAAAAAAACAAATTATTTAATTAGAAGATGTTTATTTTGTGTTGTAAAAGTTAAATTATAATATAATA